CGCGTTCGAAGGTGGCTTGATATCCGAGACGCTGCGGCCAATCAGATCGAGCGCCCGGTGTCCCGATCGAAGCGCAAGAAACTTCGGCGTCGCGCGCTCGTCGAATCAGACCTGGCCCGTCCGCGCGTCGTCGATTGCTTCCAGAAATTCGGCCAGGGGAAGAAGAGAGCAGGCATGGGTGGACATGAGACGCTCCATGTCCTCGCACTTGTAGGGGCACAGGGGGCCGCTGCATGTGCGACCATCTTCGCCCTGCCTCCCGCCCCGATCGCGACGGGGAGATTATCGTGGACATGGGTGACGCGCCCCCTTCTAGAAGGGGCCCCCATCGCGCGGTCTAGACCTGTCTGGCCGATGAGCGCGTGGCCCGCCCGCGGCTGCGCCCGCGAGACCGCGCGGCGCCGCGGTGCTCCGCTGAAAGTCAGCTCGGACGCGACTGCATCCAGATGCCCTCGAAACGTCGCCCATGCCGCGCCTGTCCAGGGGCGGGGGGGGTCTCCAATCGCATCAGTACTGAAGTAGAAATCCCCAGTCTGGGCGGAGCTCCTGTTCTTGCCCTTCTCACCCTTCGGGCGGTCGGCCTTGGACCTGCAAAGCTTGGCGTCGCGCCGGTGCCCCTTCTCTCCGCAGCTCGTGCATCGAGCGCGTCGCTTGAGATCGCCCATGGATATTGTTCTGAAGCCCGGCTTCGAAGGCCCTGCCTTGTCCGCGTCGAAGAACTCGCGATCGACCTTCTTGGCGAACTTCAATTGTCGCGGCTCCTTCCGCGCCATACGCGCACCGTCACGCTTGGGACCTGCCAGCTCGGCGAAAACTTGGAAGACCTCATCCTCGCGCAAGTCCTGAACGCCCAGGGTCGCGAGAAAGGTCTGAGCCTCTTCCTCTGCTGAGATGACTGGGCAAGCGCGCTCTTTCCTCTCGAGCCGCACTCGCTGTGGGGAGGGGGCCCCTGCCCCCGCTCGATCTGGCCTAGGCGGCCGCGCGCTTGGGCCCCTTCGGGCCCGCCAGTCAGGCCAGGGCCCCATTCGGGCCCCAGTCTCCTCAGAGATCCTCTGAGAGGGGCCGCGCACTCACTGGAGCCTGCGCGCCCTCGCGGCGCCTCGGCGAGACGACAACCATCTTCTCCTTGTCATTGGCCTCAAGCGCGATGTCAGCCGCGGCTCGCCTCGGGGAGCGGCGCGAACCTCGGTGTCGCCAACTTCCACCAATAAGTGCACGGCGCCTGGCTCTGCTTCTCTGCCGTGGTCGGGTTCTCCGTGTGATTCACCTCGTCTTTGCTGCTCGTGCCAGCAACCATCGTCGGCTTCTCCGCGTGCTTCACCTTGCCTCTGCTACTCGTGCCCGCAGTCGTCATCATCGGCTTCTCCATGTGCTTTACCGTGCTCTCTGAGACCCACCTCGCCCTGCATTGCCATCCACACGCCAGCCCTATCATGAGAACCATCCGTGCGATCGCCGGGATGATCGCCCACGGGTGGTCATCCATCCAGTCGGGGAACCTCGCTCCCACCGGGCTGGTGATCTTCGGGCTGCACGCGTCCAGCGCACAAGAGGTCGTAGCCGAGCTCGGCGTCGCCCCTTGTGCCAGCAAGGTGGCCAGCAGGCCCTGCCTCGCCCAGCTCGCGCTCGCTGCCGCCGAGCACGCCTCAAACTCCCTGTGATTGTCCATCTCTGCGAAGTCCTCAATGCCCGCCAGGTCGCGCAAGTGCTGAAACCGCGCCACAAGATGGACCTTCGTGCCCAAGTCGGCCACGTTCTCCTCGCCGCTCTCCTCCTTCGCGTTGGAGCCCATTGCACCTTCCGCTCTTGCTGGATCCGCGGCGCCCCGACGTCCGGGCGCTTCACCTTGCCAGCGCCCTCGCGATAGAGCATCGCCTTCGCTGCGCTGCTGTCGATCCCGAGCTCCCATGTCAGGTCTCTTCGAAGCCCAACCGCCCCAGCGCGTTCTTAACGAGCTTGCCGTCCATCACCACAGGGGTTGTCCCGTAGAACTCCGCCTCTCCTGACGATGTAGTCTGGGCTCCTTGCCGTCGCGCGAACGCCGCGAAGTGCGCCCCGTCCAGCTTCGTGATCCCGCAGGTGATCGCTCCCCTCGTAGTCTTGCAGGCGGCGAAGTCCGTGTCCGCGAACAGCTGCAACTTCACCTCTCCAGGCCTGCTCGCCACCGGCTTCACGAGGCGCTTCCCGTCGAACTCCGTCGGCTGGCTCAAAACCCGCGCCAGTTGCTGCACGCCCCTCTGGATGTCTGCTGTCGGAGGAGATGTAGAGCGAGATCCCCGCACCCGTGCGAAGCTTCGCCTTCGCCACCTCGTCCAAGTTTGGGCTCCAAGTTGGGCCCTCCTCCGTCAAGCTGGGTGCCTTCGCAGGCAATGCCTTCTCAGTGCCCGTCACGTAGATCAGGTCCTCGATGCGCTTGACGCTTGGTCGCAGCATCGCATCGCCGTTCATGAGCCTCAGCCTGTCGCGCATCAGGTGCGAATGGCGCCCCTGCCTGATGACATCCGTCGCCCCCGTGTCGAACGCGTCCCGCAGCCTCTTGATCGCCCCGTCTAAATTCGCCACTGGCCCTTCTCCGTGGAAGTCGCCCCTGCAGTAGTAAAACTGTGGCTGGCACTCGCGTCGCTCAAAGCCCTCGCCCTTCAGCGCGCGCGCCGCCTTGTCCGCCCACTCAGAGCCTGCCGCGCGCTGTCCTGGAAGCATATTGCCCAGGGCCCACGCGATGTCGGTAGGTCTCCCCATCTCCGCTAGGACGCAAACCTTCTACGTCTGATCCGCCTGATAGTAAGCCTTCACTCAGTCCGCGATGAACGTGCCGTGGTCCTCCTCCTTGGCGCTGACAACGTCTATCAACCTGCTCGTCTGCGCTGACGAGCTCGCCGCGCACGCATCGCCCCGCTGCTCCATCCACTTGAACTCCTGGACGTACCTCCACTTGCAGACGCCGCCGCGCATCTGCAGCTCCCAGCGAGCCTTGATCACCTTGAACTCCCCGCTCTCGTCCCTCGGGATGCCACTGTGCACGCCGTAGTGCGCCAGCACCTCCAGCGCGTAGCGCTTCCCCTTGAGCTCCACAGCGGGGCCCAGGCCGCTGGTCGTGACGTGGGATGCCGTGCCCATGCCGCCCAAGATGCTGCAGTCGATCGGGTCGTCTAGCGAGATCGCTTCCACGTGCCTCGCTCGCATCCCAAGTGCCGAAGCCCTCGCCCTCCGCGTGTCTCGTCTGCCCTCTAGCCTCTTGGTGTCATCGGCGTACCCTTTTCCATCGCATTCTCCTCGCTGGATCTGGTTGCTGCAGCTGCCCCCACTCCTGGTCCTGCTGGTGCTGGTGGTGGCCCCTCTTCGCCTCCTGCTGCCGGCTGCGCCCCCTGCTCGGGCGCCCCCTGCCGAGGTGCTCCTGGTGCCGCCGCTGCCTTCGCCTCTGCCCTCGCCGTCTGCTCCGCCGCCGCCAGGTCCACCGTGGGCAGAGGCCGCTGCATCCGCGGCTGCAGCTCGCAGGACTCGGTGCTCCTCGCCTCCCAAGGCAGCGCCTTCGCCGCCATCGGCAGCTTCGCATCAGCTCGCAGCGCTGGCCCCAATATCCTGCCAGTCCTGGCGCGATGTCAGCCCGCAGGCGTCGGGAACAGGTGATCGTGGCTCTCCCGGTGCTTCCCGGCCCAGATGCCCTTCGCGAGCTTCGGCCCGCCCTCGCGCTGCAAGGGCGTTGCCGTGATCTGCCTCGTGTGGGAGGTCGGTATCTTGAAGAGCGCGGTCTCCCCGAATGGAACAATGTCGCCGTTGTAGGTCACTCCGAATGCTGCCTGATGAGATGCCTTCCCATCGCCCCGTGGTCTGTAGGCGTGTCAACCGACGCCAGATGGATGCGTCCGCTGTGATCTTCCTGCCGCGGCGCTTCTCCAAATCAAACTTGTGCGTCCTCACTTTCGCCTGGGACCGCCTGATTGGGGCCTCGGTCGCGCCCGTGTGCTGACTGTCCTTCAGGTTCCCGCGCTGCTCCTCCAGCTTGACGCTCGTGCTCAGCTTCTTGCGCGCCTCCTCCACCAGTTTCAAAATCGTGGGCCCCCCGTCCGTCTTGATGTCCGCTGCCGTGAGGTGCGTGCCTTCGACCAAGCAGCTCACGCCGGCCATCGCGCAGTCCGTGACCGCCTTCGTCGGCGTCGAGACCGCGTTGAACATCGACGTGTCCCGGTCGGCCATCACGAGCGTCGTCGCGAAGATGTCCGCCGCTGGTGGTTCCTCGTCTCCGGTGTCCGCCCGGTCCCCGCTGGTCTTCGGGTAGCAGAAGTCCAATGTGATCTGGGCCTTTTTCCAATGTCCTTCTTGTCGAAGTTGAGCGTCTTGTGCGGCTCGGTCGCCTCGTTGCCGCGCGCGCGGGCCTCGCGCAAAATGCGCGCGCGAGGTGCAAGAGGTCGCGAGCTGCTCGCTCCGCGTTCGATGGCGCCCCTGGTTCTGCAACCTCTCGTGGTGCGATCGCGGGCCCTCCCCTGCGCAGACTCCGCATGCCTGCGCTCCAACTCCTTCATCTTGTTCTGGCGTGCTGTGATCCTCCGCTCCGCGTCGCTGAGCCTGGCCCACAGCTCGTCCTTCCTGCCGTAGAACGGCGCCCCTAACATTCTGAGCCTTGCCCGCATGTCCTCCGCGCGGCTCTCTGGGTGCAGTGCGATCCCATGCCCTCCTCGCTGTAGAACTGGTTGTCGTGCAACTCGTTCTCGACCTCCTGCGAATTCTGCCGCTGGCTGCGCTGGCCCAGCCGGTGCTGCTGCGGCTGCTGGCCCAGGTGGGGTCGCCGCAGCTGGTCCGCCGCTGCCTGGGGCTTCAGGCGACGGCGCGAAGTCCTCCTCCTGCTGCTCGTTCGCGTTTGCGCTGGCCGCAAACTCCTTCGCCTCCACCATCGCCCTGAAGGTCTTCGCGCTGAAGCCCAGCGTTCTGTTCCTTCTCGTGAGCGGGGTGCCCTTGCTGAGGTCGCCGCCAAAGTACATGCGCATGCCCGTCTTCGCGCTAAGCTAGAACTCGGCGCCCTTGCCCCTCACCTCGAACAGCGAGAGGATCGGCTTCGACGCCGTGTCCCCGAGTCTGAAGTCCGCCTGCAGCAACTTCGTCTGCTCGTTGTCGTCGTCGACCGCCATCGGCGCCGTCGCTATGGAGTCCATCATTATATCCTGCCTCTGCGCGTCCAGCAGCGTCGGCCCGTTGTCCGCCACCTTCCTGCAACCCTCACCGAACGTGGTTGGGCCCACGTGGCAGTCGCCCGCCGTGTCTAGCGCGACGAAGGCGGTGCCGTCCATAGCGCAGCACTCCGCGTCCGCGTCGTCTGGCCGCGTCGCCACGCAACGGGGCTGGTCGTCGTCGCAGATCTCGCGCTCGTACTCGGCAAACTCGATCTTGGCCACCGTCTTCGGCCCCGTGCTGTCCTGCTCGATCGCTGCGTTGCTCTTCGCTGTCTCGTCTGCAATCCGCTTCCTGCAGTCAGTGTTCTTGTTGCCCGTCTGGTGGCAGTAGTCGCACTGCCCAATAAAGACGTCCTTGCGTTTGCCTTTGCCGTCCCTGCCAACCCCCTGCTTGCCGCCCGCTCCAGCTCCGCGACACTTCACGTCGCTCTTGCCTTTGCCCTTGTCACGCCAGTAACCGTCTCGTGCCGTGTTGTTCGGTTTGTGGCAGATGTGGCACTTGTCTTTGTTGTCTTTGCCATTGCCTCCCTTCGGGATGGCGTCGACACCCATGTCGCCGCTGCCCCTGCCTGCTGCCGGCGGCCTTGAGATCGCACCACTCTGGCCGATCACCGCCTCCAAGATGCAGTTCCTCATCTGCGCGGCGTCGCTCCGGGCGCCCCCCTGCGCGGACCGCAGCGTGGTCTTCGCGTCGTCGGGCGCGTGAGCCACGATCGCGCTCGTCTTCGTGTTCTGCGTGAACCCCTCGCCCGTTGCCCGTTCGTGGCGGGAGATCAGCTCGTCCCAGGCGATCAGCACCTCCGCGAAGCGCTCCTTGCCTGCTCGCTCCTTTCACCAGAGCGGCGTCAGAATCTGCCGGGGCATCTGGCCGTGCTCCTCGTTCATCCTCGGGCGGCGCCCCCCGTGCAACCTCCGCTTGGCCATCGCCCCGCGGGCAGAGCTTCGCGATGCTCTGCGCGGTGAACTTCGTCGTGCTGGCCAGAAGGTGGCACGAGCTCTTGCCGACCTGAGTGCCTTGCTCGCCGATCTGCTCCGCGGCGAGCGGCCCCTCCGCGCCCCTGGGCAGCTCCAGTCCTGCCGCCCACCCCAGCAGCCCGCAGTAGCCCCCGAACGTGAAAATCAAGTCCACGAAATCCCTCCGCGCGCGCGAGGAGGTCGGCGCCTTCCCGACGCCACGGGGGCCCAGCAGCTGCGCTCCAGCCGCTCCAGCCTCGGCCGCCATGGCGCGCTGGCGCCACTAGCCTGTTAGGGAAAGTTCGGCACCCCACGCCCCGTCACCATGCTGAGATGACTGGGCAAGCGCACTCTTTTCGCTCGAGCCGCTGCGGGGGGGAGAACCCCTCTCCCCGCTCGGTGTGGTCTGGGCAGGCCGCGCGCTCGGGCCTCTTCGGGCCCGCCATTCAAGCCAGGGGCCATTCGGGCACCAGCCTCCTCTGAGCCTCTGAGAAGGGCCGTGCACTCACTGGAGCCTGCGTCCTCTGAGAGCTCCACGTCGTATATGTATTCCTGCATTTCGTCCTCAAAAAGCTGGCAGTCGTCGTCGTTCTCGCCCGTCTGTAGGAGAGACTTCTGTCCTGGTGGCCATGCTGGAAGCACTGCCTTCTCGTCGACATCCATGGCGAGGATGGCTCTCTTGACTGCCCTACTCGACGTGTCGCTGCCCATGAGAATACGAAGATTCACCCGGTTGTGCAAAGAGATGGGCGCCTTCCTCAAAATACCTCGCTATGACGCTGTCCGGCAACGTCAAGACCGACCCTTCGGCCGCGGCAATCTGAGCCTCGCGCCCCACGATGAATTCCGCCAGCGTCTCTTGGCTCGGATCATGTAGTCAAGCAGCGCTACGTTCTGTGCCGACCTCTCCTTATCCCCGGAACGTTCACCATTTAGCAGCTTGAGATGGTCCAGGGGGTCCGAGATGCCAGTCTATCCAGGGTGCGTCGAACCAATTTGAACTCGGCCTGCAGATCCATCGGTTGCAACTCGAGAACCTGCGAAGCCCGATTCTGGCACTATGCCCGCTCGTCGAATCCAGGACCTGAGATTCGCCGAATAGATACCTAGATGCTCTACCCCTGAAAACTGAGGCGAGCCCGACAAATCCCTGGAACGCTGCTCTCCCTTCCGCGTCGTCCACGTGGTGCTGGCATCGTCCCCTGAGGTCATCCAAGCTGGCCTCCAATTCTACGCATCTTACCAGCCTGAGCCCTTGGTAGGACTGTTGTTTTACTGTGAGCTCCACCACGACTCTTATTTTCAGATCAGGATATCGTATTCCTGATCGTCCCCAGCCTGTGACGTTGTCGAAATTATGGCCTGAGTGGCTTGTGTGGCCTCTGTTCCTGTCGTGACGTGCTCTGCCGTCCGTTCCTGATCTTCCCCAACAGTCGCAACAAATCCCAGCATGTCCCCTAGCGCTCCGAAGAAATCATCTGCCGTCCCTGCTCTCCATCGATGCCCACGCTCCGGCTACCATTGAAACGGACCATGAGGCAAGGGGGGGACGGGTCGTTTTCCCTCGGGCGCCTGGAGACGCCGCGTCATGTCGTGGACCGTCGAAGATGGTTGACTGCGCCAAAGAGGCCGTGACAAGCACAAGCGCGAAGAGGGAACAGGGGAATAAGGAGACCGCAGTGTGTTCCGCGAGGGCTGGAGCGTCCAAAATGGCTGAACACGGCGCCAAGAGGGTCCCAGATAACCCAAGGTAGCCTCCAAGATCGAAGAACATACTGCAATGTGTTTCCGACTAGCCTCCTACATGCCTACGAGAGCCCCCAAAACGGCTCCAAGTGGCCACGGAACTTCCCCAAGAGTCCGCCGAGAGGCCATATCCTTCCAAAGCCAAAAGGGTCCACTGTGTTTCGCATTCTCGAATTTTCTCTTTCGATTAGTTTTGGAAGCCTCAAGATGGTTCCAGGATCACCCAACCCTCCAAAAAGGGGCCCAAAGGGACCCACGAGGGCCAAGAGACGACCCTAAGAGCATCCGAGAACGCCCTAGGGGAGCTCCGAAAGGAAATTTTGGGGTATCCAGGGGGGGATGTGTGGTCCTCCCTTCTTTGATCGAGGGCTCCCAAGATGGCCCCAAGAGAGCTCCGAGTGCATCCCAAACGGCCCAAGGAGGACCCCGCGAGGGCCCCACCATGCGTCCAATAAGTTCCCAGAGCGTGACTGCGTGCCGCTACGCATCCATGATCCGAAGAACTCCCTTGGTGATTGTTTTGGGCGGACTGGTTGGGATGTTTTTTTGGTCGGCGGCTCCGAGGCAACGGTCAGGGAGCGGAAGCGGCGAGTTCGCACCTGCAAGACAAGCTCGCAGTTGCACACGCACTGAACAAAATGAACTGAATTCTCAGGGCTGTACAGGCGTTGCAGGCTGAACCACTCAGCGCCCAGTCCTCAGTACTCCGCCTCCCAGTGCCGAGGGGGGCGATGCGGCTGTGCCCGAGGCGCAGCTGCGATGCCGATCCCTGGAGCGAAGAAACCGCTGGCGTGGTGGGCGCCGCCGTCGGGCGGTGATGACGTCTGCGCCGCCTGCCAGGGGGGTCCTGCTGCAGTGGAGGCAAGTGCGAGCCGGTGGAGTGAGTCGCCTGTGGGGCGCCAGACTCCGAACGCCCGCGACGGCTGCAAGTCAGGGAGCAGCAGTCGCGGAACATGGTGCAGCGCACTGGCCGGAAGCTGGTGGATGAGCCTGGGGTGCTGTGCCTGCTGCGGAAGGATGAGCCACTCCGTGGCGACCCAACGCCCGAGAGACAATCCCGCATAGCATGAAGGGAACAAGCCGCTGTGGGCCACGCGGCGCGCGCCGGCACGGCGCCAGGCCTCAGAAGGGGGGGGGGGGGGCCGCAGGCGAGGGATGCACCGCCGGCGGGGGGGGGGGGGGGGCAGCGCTGGTGAAAGTGCTGCCTTCAGCGGCGCCATAGGGCGAAGCGCCCGGGGGAGCTGCGCAGTGGAGACACGGGGGCCAGGAGGCAAGCCGGGCCCAGTCCGCCGATTGGCGCTGCCCGCCAGACCCGTGGCCCTACACGCACCGCGAGGTCCCCCAGGGCCGAAGCGAACTCCGCCGAGAGTGGGGGCCAAACCCCAGGAAGCGCGGAACACGGGCGGCCCTGGGAGGGGGGGCAACCACCCTGACGTCTGAACGCACGTCTGGCAGGCCCCGAGGCCGAGGGCGGGGGGCGCCCGCCAGGCCCGGGAGGGGGGGCGAGGGGGGGCGCCGTCTCGCCCCTCGGCCTGGCCCCGAATCCAGGGGGCCAAGGTCATCTCTTGGGTCGCTCTCGGGGGTCGCAGCTGATCGCCGCTATGATGTCTCTTTAATCTCCTCGGGGGTCGCAGCTACTCGCCGCTGAGATCCTGGGGGTCGCAGCTACTCGCCGCGAGCACCTGCGTGTGGAAGCGGGGGGGGGGGGCAGCCGACCGCCGCTAGGATACATTTTGCATCGAAGGGGTCGCACCTGTCACCGAATATAGCCGCTATGCTGTCTATTTGAAGGTAGGGGTCCGGTTGCGGTGCCTGTCGTTGACAGGGGGTCGCAGCTCACCGCCGCGCATTACAATTTGATGGTGGGCGTGTCCCCTGAACCCAGCGCTGCCACTGACGACGTGGGCGCCAACTTAGCACCCCACATCCCGGCAATGCGCCGGAGCCTGTGGATCACTTTTGAAAGGGTGGTGCCTAAGCCTCCGCTGAACCGACAGCACAGGGATGCAAGAGTACCAGAGCCCCAGAGGGCGGACCCGAGCCCAGCAGCAGAAGCCCCAGGGAGGACAGCGCCAGGATGCAAGAGCCCCAGGAGAACCCGCGGGCCACGCATTCAGATCCCACTGCAGTCACAGATCACGTTGGCCACCTGCCGCCATGCTGGGCGGGGAGGAGCTGCAGCCAGCGCGCGCCCTTCACGCACCTGCTCTCAGCGCAGCAACTGATGACAGTGGGCGCTGTGAAGACGAAGCGTGCGCGGGGGGGCGACGAAGGGCGGCCCTTGGCTGCCAGAGCAGGGATGCGAGAGTGCCTTGAGCCCCCGTGAGAGGCCCCGAGCCCGTGGTCCAGGCAGGCCCCTGCGTGCGTCCAGGGTCGCTGAGCCCGGTGGCGGTCCCTTTCGCTGACTCGGGGGTCGCAGCTGACCGCCGCGCATCACGATTTGATGGTATGCGTGTCTGCAGGGGCCCCAGGAGTACAGTCGCAGATCACGTTGGCCACCTGCCGCCTTGCTGGGCGGGAAGGAGCAGCTGCCAGTGCCCGCCCTTCACGCACCTGCTCTCAGAACTGCAACTGATGACAGCGGGCGCCGTGAAGGCAAACGTGCACGGGGGGGGCGGCGAAGGATGGCCCTTGGCTGCCAGAACTGGGATGCGAGAATGCCTTGAGCCCCTGAGGGGGGCCCCGGGCCCGTGGTGCAGGCAGGCCCCCGCGTGCGTCCAGGGTCGCTGGGTCTGATTGCGGCCCCTGTCATTGACTCGAGGGTCGCAGCTAACCGCCGCGCATCGCAATTGATGCCAGGTGTGTCTGAGGACGAAGCTAGCGCGGGGGGGGGCGAAGGGTGGCCCTTGGCAGCCAGAACTGGGATGCGAGAGTGCCTTGAGCCCCCGTGAGGAGCCCCGAGCCCGGGGTGCAGGCAGGCCCCTGCGTGCGTCCAGGGTCGCTGAGCCCGGTGGCGGTCCCTTTCGCTGACTCGGGGGTCGCAGCTGACCGCCGCGCATCACAATTGATGGTAGGTGTGCCCCCTGCAGATCCGTCCTCCAGGGTCGCAGCAAGCCGCGGCTGAGGTGAAACTGCAGTGTGACCAGACAGCGGGGGGGGGGGTTGGACATCGGGGGTCGCAGCTAGTCGCCGCATGGGTCAGAAGATGGAGGAGCAATGAAGGGGCCGCTTCCGCCTCCGCCACACGCGCTGCGACGACCGCCTGGCCCCCCGGGAGAGAGGCGGGGGGAGGCCGCCCCCCCCCCCCCCCCTCCCCCTCCTCGGTAGGCGCCCCGCCCGTGGGAAAGGTGGCGCACCCGTCTAGCGGGATTAGTGCTTGCAAACATTGTCAGTCATTCACGCGCGCTCAGATCCCTCTGCAATGAAAAACCACGTTGGGCCCCCGATGCCGCGGGCCCCGTTTTTCTGGGCAGCGACGGGCCTGCTGCCAGTGACCACCCTCCTCGCACCTGATCCCCGCGCGTGCGATGCCACGAGGTGGGGCAGCAGCGGCTACTGTGAGGAGACGGCCCGCCACTGTTTTTTTGCCTTCCTGGGTGCCTGGGTGTTCGGGTGGCCCTTTGCCGCGTGGCGATCCCTGCTCGCTCCGCCGCATCGACCCGGGCGCAGATGCCGCGGCCGAGTCCAGTCGACGTTGAGGCCCAGCGCGTCACTGACGACCCGTACGTCGCACTTGTGGCTGCGGAAGGATTCCAGGAAGAGGTGGCAGGTTTGCGGGTCGCGTCGAAGCGGGTCGAGCGCGCCTTTGCTGCCGGGCGCGGTCTGCCGCTTGGCGAAGGCGTGCCAGGTGCCTGTGAACGGTGTTCCCAAGGTGACTTGGAGCCGTCTCATCGCCTCGCCGGGTGTCTCCCCGGGAAGGTCCCACTGGGTGTTGTCGATTTCTGTTTGGTACAACTGCTGTCCCGCATCGGGGTCCGTGGGGCCTGGCCATTGGCGCGGGTCAGGCCATTAGTGCTGCCGTGTATTCCGGCCGCAAGTCTCCGGCGTACCGGCCTCGCTGTCCTGGCCGGAGGGCTCGCGATCTGCCCGCGACAGTTCCGGCTGCGCGCCCGGCGGGGCTCTGCGGGGACAGGCGGGCCGCGTAGTTGGCCGCCAGGCAGGGGTCGTGTCGTGTCCGCTGCCCTGTGGTGTGCGGGGAGAAGCCTCTTTCGCTGGCGTTCGCCTTCGGGCCTGTGCCCGCCGTCGCTCCCGGGTGCGCCCCCTTCGGTCATCGCAGGACTCTCGCCGGTCTCGAGGGCGCCGCTGGTTGCGCCGGGCGCGCGCGTGCGGCGACGCCGTTTCCGTTGCCAGAGCGCAAGTTTCTTCGTCAGTCGTGCCCTGGACGTGTGGGGGGGGGCGCTTGGGGTTCGCCGCCCATTAGAGTGGGTTCGCTGGCAGGGGGGGGGCGGATAGGCGCGAAGGGGTTTCTCCCGACGAGCCAGTGGATGGCTTCGCTGTCCTGCGTCTGGGCGGTTGGTCGTGGTCCCCCTGCTGGGTCTGCGGCGATCCCAGAGGACTGCTGACGGTCTGATTGTTTTGAGGGAGGTGGGGGTGGCACGGCGTTGCAAGCGAGCCCTGCTGTTCCGGGACCTCGCTTAGCTGACTGTTGCGGCTGCCGTCGGCACTTTCGGGGGCCAGCCCCTGCCCGCCCGGTTCTATTCCAGAGACACGGATGAAGGCTTGTGCCACTTCCGCACCTTCCGAGGCTTCCGCCGCTTCGGGCCCCTGATGCTCCGCGGCCTCCGCAGCCTCCGCCGACTCCGCCGCGGCCTCCCTCTCCTTTTCTCTGCCCTGCTGCTGCTGCTGATGGGGGCAAGGGTACCTCTGAGTCTTCTCGTGGGTTCTGCTGGCTCCCAGAAGTGCCCAGGAGGCTGTCAGGGAGCAGGGGTGCCTCCTTCTGGTCGTCAGAGAGGGTGCTTTGAGGCTCGCGGGTCTCTCGTCCCCGGGGTGGGTCTGCTGCTGCTGGGGCTGCTGTTGCTGCTGCTGCAGCACCTGTTGCTGCTGGTGCCGCAGTGGTTGTGGGTGCTGCGGCGGTTGCTGTGGCTGCTGATGGGGGTGTTGTTGCTGCTGCAGCTGCGGGGTGCTGCTGTTGCTGCTGTTGCTGCTGTTGCTGCAGCTGCGGGGTTATGTTGCTGCTGCTGCTGCTGCTGTTGCTGTAGCTGCTGCGGCTGTTGCAGTTGCTGCTGCTGCTGCTGTCCTGCTGCTGTGGCTGCTGCTGCTGCTGCCGTTGCTGCTGTTGCGGCAGCGGCTGCAGGTGCTGCTGCTGTTGCTGCTGCTGCTGTTGCTGTTGCTGTTGCTGTTGCTGCTGCTGCTGCTGCTGTTGCTGCTGCTGCGGCTGCTGCTGCTGCTGCTCCTGAAGCTGCTGCTGCTGCTGCTGCTGCTGCTGCTGCTGCTGCTGCTGTGGCAGCGCTGCGGCTGCTGCTACAATGGCTGCGGCAGCTGCTGCCGTCGCGGCCGCTGCAGCCGCGGGGGGGCGGCGGGGGCGGCGGCGGCGGCCGCCGCAGCCGCCACGCCAGCGGCCTCGCCGCGGGCGGCCGCGGGGGCGGCCGCGGGGGCGGCCGCGGCGGCGCAGGCCACCGAGCCCGCCGCCGCCGCCGCCGCCGGCGGGGAGTCGGCAGCGCGGCAGCAGCGGCTGCCGCGACAGCGGCCGCCACGCCAGCCACGGCGCCGCTGGCCGCCGCCGCCACCGGAGGGGATCCGGCGGCGCGGCAGCAGCGGTGGCGACGGCCGCGGCGGCAGCAACGCCGGCGCGGCCGCGCCGCCAGCGGCCTCGGGGGCAGCCGTGGCGGCGCCGGCCACCGCGCCCTCCGCCGCCGCGGCCGCCGGCGGGGAGCCGGCAGCGGCAGCGGCAGCGGCGGCGGAGACCACCGCCAGCCAGCCGGGGGCCCCAGCAGCGGCAGCAGCGCCGCCCGCGCCAGGCGCGCCGGCGGCCGGCGCGGCAGCCCGAGGCGCCAGCCCCGGAGGCGGCGCGGCGCACGGAGCGACCGCGAAGCCGGCTTCCGCGGCGGCGGCCGCGGTGGTGGCGGCGCCCGTGGCGCCGGTCGCGGGCGCGGCGCCAGCGGCGCCCGCAGCCGACGCGGCACCAGCGGCGCCGGCGGCGCGGGCGGCGGTGCGACCGGCGGCCGCACGTCGCAGCCGCCGCCGCCGCGCCGTGCGCGACTGCATGGCCCGGGGACGAGGGCTGGAAGGGAGGAGCGGGGTTCCCTCCAGGCCCTCGTCGGCGGCCAGACCAGGAACAGGGGCGCAAGCCCGGCAGGCGCAAGCCGGCTAGGCTTGAGCCAGTGGCTTGAGCCAAAGGGGCTTGAGCCAAAAGGCTTGAGCCAGGCTACGGAACGCTGGTTGGGATAAGCGGAGCGTCAAGAGTCAATCCCCGAATTCCGCCTGGGGTCCAATCTGGCCAGTGACGCATCCCCAACAATTCTTGATGGTCGTTGGTCCCCAGAAGATGACATGACATGTTAAACGTATTGTTCTTCCTCGTTCTCGTCGGCGATCCATCCAAGCCCGCTCAAACTCGGTCCCTGTACCTCTCCTGGGTCCATCCTGGCGAATGTTGCGAGCCGCGTCCAGCCGTGACGACGAAAGCATTCAGAAACCAGAAAAGCTATGAAACGAAGACGTCGGCAACGGCGTCGTTGTAGTCGCCGTCGCTGTCGCCATCATCGTCATCGTTGTCGTTGCCATCGTCCTCGTCGTGGTCACTGTCCTCGGCACCATCGGGATCGTGGTCGTGGTTGTCGTGGTCGTCCGCGTCGTCGCCGCCGCTGTCACTGTCGTCGTCGGCGTCGCCGCCGCCCCCCCTTGCAACGGGGGGCGGCTCCGGGAGGCCCAGCAGAGGGCACTGGAGGCCCACGACAGAAGGCCCGAGGAGGCCCAAGTTGCGCGCAAACGCCCCCCGACGTCGTCGCTGGGCGCCGCTCCTCCAGCAGCGAGGGCGGCTCCGGCAGCGCGCCGCCCTCGCTGCTGACAAGCGCTCCGGGCGCAGTCAGGTCCAGGGCGCCCGGCCGCCGCTCCCTTGCAGGGATGCCGCCGCCGCCGTCGCTGCCGCCGTCGCCGTCGCCGTGGCCGTCGTGGTCGTGGTCGTGGTCGTGGTCGTGGTCGTGGTCGTGGTCGTGGTCGTGGTCGTCGTCGGCGTCGTCGGCGTCTTGAGCCTCGCATGGCGGACGCGCCGTGATGCTATGTTCAGACGTTCTGCAAGTGGTGCGACCACTGACAATACACGCATTCCACTCTGAAGCGAACCAACGACGTGCTTAAATGCTGAGCTACGCGATCCGGAGTTAGTGCAACGGACCATCATACAGATAGGACGCCACAACACACCCCGACCTAATTCGGTATATTAAGGGTATGGTTGTACAGATAGCTTTCGTTTGCTTTGAGATGTGCGGGGTGAACCCAGGAACAACATACAGGACATCTTCATCCAAGAAATCTGGGACTGCAGGGACTTCAGCAACCTGACAAGTAGCCCTGCGCTCCCGATCGTAGTCCTTGTGGGATAATGAAATTCTGGGGTCTGGGGGGGGGGGATAATCAAGGATTTTCCCGGGGAAGGTGATGTCAGTTAAGTTATGATGATGACGGTGATGATGATGATGATGATGATGATGATGATGATGATGATGACGATGACGATGACGATGATGATGATGATGATGATGATGATGATGATGATGATGGTGGTGGTGATGATGATGATGATGATGATGATGCTGGGCGTTCGTGTAGACTAAAACGGTGAGAATCCCGCAGCCCTGCCACACGCTCGTGATTGCGGAAGCTGAAATTGTGTGACTAGCATAGCCATGCTCAGCGTTGTTGATGCTGTTGCTAATCAACATGAGATGATAGCAACTTCGATTCGCAACTTCCCCCGGGCATTATCAAGTTCGGCCTCCACGCCCTTCTCCACAATTAAATCTTACTAGCACGGGACACAAAATAGAGGGGGGAGAGGGGGGGTACATCTTTATCGGGGGCATGGGCTTACCCACGGAAGAATATCTGCTATAAGAATGGCACCCGCATCATGTTGTCTAACAGGGCACACCACTCCATCTGTGTAGGGTCCGAAAACATCAGCAGAGGCTGGCAGTCAAACGTCTCGAGCATGCTAAACTCGGCGTCGCAGAACGTCGATACATGGTTCGCAAAGTCAGCGAATCTGCGCGTGCACGGACAACCTGAGCGAGCCGAGAATCGCCCGCAAGACTAACGTATGGTGCCGAAAAGCGCGCCTCAATCTGCAGCGTGGGTAGTTCGGTCCATCCAACGCTGATCCCACCTAATCCTCCTCGCTCTGAGCTCCGCATCGTTCGGGATCATTTCCCAAAATGATGCATCTGCATGTCGAGAAGCGAAACTGTGTGACCGTTCTTCTTATACGTAGCTGCTCTTCTCGTAGCTCCTCGAACATCTGATAGAACGCGTGATCATGTACTGCTGGTCTATATATCGAACGCATCATCAGCATCGTCCTTTGGGGCAATAAACTCCCGCTGGCCTGCGAGCCGCAGCCCCGGGCCCCTGACCCAGACCGACGGGAAAACAACCTGCGCTTGTCGCTCACGGCCGCCTTCGCGTTGCCAGGACGGCGGGCGCGTGTCAGGCCCGGATGCTGGACAGAAACGCCAGGCAAACCGGATGCAACCCACAAGCCGACATGCAATAGGAAAACTCATGAGGTGAACCGTGGCCTTGGAGAAAACGAGCGTGTGAAAAGCAACGAATTACCCCCCACCCCAAGCATTGGCCGCTAGCTAGAGGAAAAAGAGGTATGGAACATGGGCCCTGGAAACCTGGAAACCTAGGACCTCATATTTGCTGGAAAACACAATCCGCTTTCCACGTACGGGATCAAATCCTGATATCCGTATCTACCCATCTACCTATGCTATGATCGCGAACCCACTTTAAAACGAACGGTCTGCGCGCAGCATGCCACCCAACATGCGAGCCACGTCACTGGGAACGCCTGCCGACAAAAGCGAACGCGATTGGCCCGGGAACCTGTACCCAGAAGAGCAAGCAACACCTCGTTCTTGATAGGGCTCATCAGATAATTATGCGTGAGCAATCGTTCAAATAAGTTGCCATTTAATTTCACAGCCCTGGCACATGGCTGTTCCGATGCCTCGTTGGCCCCACCAGCCTCCACAAACGTTTTGGCAACATCGTCAACGCACGTGTGAAATTGAAGGTCGAGAGGGATGGGATCACCACCTCGCCATTACGTATTCAGGATATTTACAACACACCATTCTGAGTGGGAGAGACGAGGAGAAACGAGAACACCACGAGGAGGCACAAAAACAGAAGAAAATGGATTGGGGAACGTCTTCTGCTTCGGGAGCCTCCTCATAACTCCTCGCGCGGAAGACCCTCTTCCGAACTCTCTGGGCCCCCTTTCGACGTCTGCCCATCATCTTTCCTAAGAGGGTGAAGGCAAGCGAGACTGGTGCGGCCCCCTCCGTGAAGTCCCCTCTGCAGCCGTCGGAGAAACTGTTCAGAGCGGATGGGGCCGGACTCGGGGATCTTCTGACCCGGGTCAATCCAGACCCGGGTCAGCCAGGCCTTGCAGAATCCTGCAAAAGCCTGCAGGATCCTGCAGGATCCTACAGAATCCTGCAGGATCCTGCGCCCAAGCCAGGGTCAATGGGAGCCTGGCCCTGCAGGATCCTGCAAGATCTGGCGCTCTGGCTGACCCCCGTTTGCATTGACCCCCGTCTCCAGGCTCCCGACGGACGAGGACCCTCTGCCCTGCCGGGGTACCCCCCTGCCTCGACGATGTGGGCCTGGTCTCCGCCACCGCGCGAGCCGCTCAACCCTGAACGGCCTCCGCTCTCCAGCGCCCCCCGCGGCTGCCGACACCCTCTCGGCAGCCCTGGAGCGGCCGCGCCAGCGGTGCCGCTGCGTCGAGGCGCCACGAGCCTGCCGACGGCACCCTTGGAGCCTCCAGCCGCAGGCCCGCAGGAGGGGAGGATAGAGAGCAGAAAATCCACCCCCATAAGAAGCACCCCGACAAGCGAAGCCGTTTAGTAAACGCGCCCATGGAAGGAATCGAACAGGGCAGGGCTGTTTAGTAAACGCCCAGGGCTGTTTAGTAAACGCGAATTGTCGGGGTCGGGGTGGTTTTTCCGTCCTTGAGAGGATGCCCCCGTCCCCAAGAGGTGCCCTTGAGCTCCCCCTGCAAGAGCCCCAAGACCACGACAGAGAGGAGCAAGGAGAGCGGGATGGATGCCGCCGAGGGGGACGCCGTCACCGGGGTCAGCGCCAGCCTGGGTCAGCCAGGGCCAAGTCGCGAGCCCGGGCCGGCCACGAAGTAGCTCCCAAGCCAGGGTCAGCGGAGGGGGGCGGGGAGAGGGGGTCGTCTCCTCGCGGCTCCCGAGCCCTGGTCAGCTGGAAGGGATTGGCTGACCCCCGTTAGCGTTGACCGCCCTTGCGTCCGCCAAAAAGTCGAAGATGCGCGCGGGGCCAAGCTCCTTCTCGGGCTCTTGGGGCCGGCTCCGTCTTTCGGCCGCCGCTTCGTTCTCTTGGGGCTGATCGACCCTTCGGCTCCTGACGAGGGAGGGGGAAGAAGAGAGGAAAAGAACTCTGAAGGCTCCTCTCTCGGGGATGATCGACCCTTCGGCTCCTGACGAAGGAAGGAGGAGAACGGAGGAAAAGAACTCTCGAGGCTCCTCCTCCTGCCTTTCCCCTCGAGGATCGAGGATCAAGCCTTTGGGGCGCCTTTGCGATTTTCCTCCTGGAAGACTTTGGTCGCTCCTGGCTCTCTTTGGGCCTACAGAGGCCTCCGCTGACCAGGAGGAGCGGGAGAGCGAGAAAGAGAGAAGGGTAATCTGTTTGTCGGCAGTCCGACGTCCTGGATGTTCTGTGCATGGGTCGCTGTGCTCCCAACTCAGCCCCCCTGTGACCGTCATTTTCTGATGTCCTGGAGCCCGATAGCGCCACCCATACCCTAGTTCGAACTTACACTATGAACCAGGCGCGAACCCAATTCAGGGACATCTTCTCAAGTAGCTAATCAAGGACTGCATTGCCCAACATTGCTTGGCTTTGCTTGGCATTGCTTGGCGTTGCTTGGGATTGCTTGGCATGTGCTGGCAATGCTGTGCAGCAAAGAACCAATACCAAGGAACCCGAGGAAGGCAATTAAGAAACAAGACCGAACACCCCGAGGAAAGCAACCACAAACTTACTCCGACCGTAGGACCCCGCATGAGAATAGATTGAACTTGCCCTTCGCTCATTTCCCATTCGCCTTGGCGGCGGTTCTCCTCCCGCTTTCTGTTGCGCCTCCTCTTCCTCGTCATCTTCGCCCTCCGTCTCCTCCTCCTTCTCCTCCTCCTTCTCGTCCTCCCCTCCTCCTCCTCCTCCTCCTCCTCCTCCTCCTCCTCCTCCCTTTTCCTCCTCCTCCTCCTCCTCGCCATCGTACTCATTCTCCCTCTCTTATTCTCCTCCTGCCTGTTCTCGCTACGAACCTCCTCTGGCTCCTGGCCAGGGCAAGTCGATTTTCCTCGGCGCCGATGCGGCCACGAGGCTCCTGCTTGATACTTTCCCCCATAGTCAGGTCTGAGGAACCCACACGTGACGACATAAACAAGTCTTTGGATGACCCGCTCGGATGACTAACATGAGCTGCGGGCCCCATAGGGAGGGGGCTCCCGCCTGAGACTTCCTCGCAATTCACTCACAGACGAAGCTCCCGCTTGATACTTCCTCCATATTCAGGACTGGGGAACCAATCACTGACGACAATTACAAGTTTTTGGTCGACCCGCTCGGGTTACTAACATGACATGTAGGCCCCATAGGACGGGAACTTCCGCTTGAGACTCCCTCGCAATTCACTCGACGAGGCTCCCGCCCCAGGCTTCCTCAAAGTGTGTGTGTGTGTGTGTGAGAGTGTGAGCGAGAGAGAGAGAGAGAGAGAGAGAGAGAGAGTGGAGGACTGCGTGCAATGCTTATGATGCTCGTGGTGATGCTGGTGAGGATGATTGTGGTGGTGATACTAACGAACGATGGTCGGTGATCCTGATGGTACGGTGGTAGTGATGATGCTGACGACGGTGGTGTGATAGTGATGATGATGATGGTGATGATGATGACGATGCTGATGATGATGATGATGATGATGTTGATGATGGTGATGATGAGTTGTGAGTGGTAGTGACGCGTGGTGTAAGCAAGTGAAAGAGTACATCTGACGATGCTTATGCTGATGCTGATGCGGATGCTGATGGTAATGCTGATGGTGATGATGATAACGATGGTGATGGTGGTGTAATGATGATCGTGATGATGATGGTAATGGTGACCACGATGAGTGTGATATGTGATGATGAAGGGAGGGGGTGGGTGAGAGGACTGCACTGGGTGTCCAGAGAAAACAACATGTCCACTTAGCATGTGGGGACCAGAAATCCAGGAGACAGAGGATGACAGTGAAGAAACAAGACCAAACAACCCGAGGAAGGCAATCAAGAAACAAAACCAAGCAATTCGAGACATGCAGTCAAGGAACGAGATCAAGGAACCCGAGGAAGGCAATCAAGAAACAAAACCAAGCAATTCGAGACATGCAGTCAAGGAACGAGATCAAGGAACCCGAGGAAGGCAATCAAGACACAAAAAGAAGGACCCCGAATAAGGCGATCAAGAAAAAAAACCAAACACCCCGAAACAAACACTCAACACATAACGCCAAACAACCCGAGGAAGGCCGGCTAGCGCAAGCCTGTCACCCACCGGTTCAACAACCAGGAAGAAGCCCTGCGTTAAGCCAAAATAGCGAACACTCGTCGTGCTTATCTCGCGACGCCGCAGGTATGATAGATGTCCAGCAAGCCTGGGCATACAATCACAAACCTCCTCCCCGTCCTCCCACTCCTTTTCCCTCCTTTCCTAATTACCCTTCCTCATCCCTCATTATTCCTTCCTCCGTGCGCATCGTCACGGGCTGAAGTGTGAGCTGATCTACGTCTTTCTTTCTTCTTTCTTTCTTTCTCTCTCTCTCTCTCTTTTTCCCATTTCCTAACACGGGGGTCTTGTTATTACTTAGACGCTTCCTGACCTTCCTCATTCATTTCCTCTTTCTTCTCCTGTGCCTCTTCTTCGCTTTCACATCGCTCACATACTCAGACTCATATCAGTCAGGCCCATTACGGGGCCCATCGCAAACTCAGTGGCTCCATTACGTACTCACTGGTCTCTATTGGTGGTTTAGTGCTCACCACAATACAGCAGGCGTGGCACGTAGGCAGCCCAGGGGGCAACCGCCACGGGTGATGACATTCGCCCGTTCACGCCGAGATTGCGCGGATGCCTCAAGCGGCCTACCATTGTGGGGACGTCTCCGGCGGTTTGCCCGTTTCCGCCCCCTGTTTTGTTTCTTGTGGTGCTCCACTGCTCACCGCGATATAGCACGCGTGGCACTTAGACGCCCTCACGTGCAGCCGCCAGGGGATATGACAATCGCCTGTTCGCGCCTAGATTGCGGGGGTCTCTCAGGCGGCTTGCCTGCTTCTGTCCCCTCAGACTGGTCTTTGCCGGTGGTCCACTTCTCACCGCGAAATAGCACGCATGGTGTTTGAGCACCCCGGTGGGGAAACCGCAAGGGGTGGGTATACTCCAAGATTCGCGCCCGATTGCGGGCATGTCTCAAACGGTTTGCCTTGACCCCCCTGGACTTCTCTTGGGACTCGTGTGCTCCTCACTCACTCGCCTCTTCCTCCTCCTCCTCCTCCCCCTCCTCCTCCCCCCTTTTCCTCACTGTTACGCACTCGTTCGCACTCATACGTGTTCAGCAATACCTTGTCCTCATTCCACCTAACTCGTCGCATGCAGAATCGCCCGCACTCAAACTCGTTCTTATTCATACTCGTACCTGCACAAACTCGGACACACTTGCACAACTTGCACCCAGGCTAATTCACCCCCCAAATCCCAGACTCGCTCATACTCAGGCTACATCGTACTGGTGCTTATTCATACACAATTTCGTATGCCTCACAATCACACTCAGGCTCACTGACACTCAGACTCCCTCGCGATGAGACCCAGTCTTTCTCAGACCTGCTCTCACTCAACCCCAATCATACCTGCACTCCAACTCGCTCGTACTCAGATCACTCACGCTCAGATTCGCTCGTGCCAAGGCTCACACGCAAGTGGCTAACGCGGTAAAGCCCGCGTGGCATTTGGGCACTCCAAATGCCAGCAAACGCAGCGAGTCGCGCGCCAGAGAACGGGCGCATCAACGCCATGCGCGCTTGCCTGAGTTGCCTCAGTGAGAACGCAAGGGAAATCCCCCTCGCTCTTCCACTTGTGTTCCCCTCCTTCTTTTGAAATATGTCCAAAGGAGGAGGACGTCACTGAAGTCATCGCTGTCGTCGTCGTTGTCGCGCCTGTCGTCTACGCGGGCTCGCTGTCACACCCAGGTGCTCACAGACAGAGCTCCTCACCGAGACGTGGCAAACATCTGAGATGCACATGTGGGGATACCCGCATAGTTGTTTACTCTCCCTCTCTCCCTCTGGTGAAACAACTAGGCTCGACGTTGTGAGTCACCAGTGTTTGGACATTATCAAGTTTAATGGTAAACTGTTTCGAAAGCAGTGTGGGAGAGGACTTCGCTGCACTTGTGCAGTACGTCGCGAGCAGCGGGCGTTACAACCCCCCAAGCCGAAGCCTGTTGTCGCCTTCCCGCTATGGGCACAGGACGAGCCGTCCGAAGGCAAGGCTCTCTGGAGTGCAAATGCCCGGCAAAGGCGCAAAGTCGAACGATGATGGTACCAAAAGTGGCGCCTGGTCACGCCCGCCATCGCCGCCTTCACCAATTCAGGCTGCGCCCCTTGACGCCAACGGGCATACTCTCACATGCAACTTCTTGCAACGTCCAACTCTCCCTTCCAGCTGCTCCTCCTCCTAAACCGCCTCCTCCTTCTAGTCCGCCTTCTCTTCATCCCCCTCCTGCCCCCTCTTCTCCTAAGCCGCCTCCCTCTTTATCCCCTGCTCCTCCTGCCACCCTTTCCTGCTCCTGCTCCACCTCCTTCTCCCTCGTCGTCCTCTCTCTCACTCTCTCTTTCCTTTTTCCTTCTCATTCTCCTCCTCGTGCTCCTCCCCCCCGTGTCCTCTTCTCCTTCTCCTTCTGCTTGTCGTGTCATCCTGCACGTCCTCTTCTTCTTCTTCTTCTTCTTACTGCTCCTCCTCCTTCTCCCACACTCCCTCTCCCCCTCCCTCTCTTTATCTTTCCCCCCTCCTCCTCCCCCTCCTTCTGAGCCCCCCTGCTCACTCCTCAACACTCTCCGCCTCACAAGATGGCCCCAGGGAAAGGGGAAACGGAGAAACAGAAACATCTTCGGACGTGTTCGTCCTCCTCCTCATCCTCCCGCCACCCCCAACAATTTTATACATTTACCGGCCTGCAGCACCGTACCTCCAAAGCCATGATTAATTCTCCCGTGTGTGGGGCTTCAGACCCTGGGTCCCCACCATTTGCACGAATCTCGCGCCCGTTGGTCGGCTTCGTGGCCTCGTGGCCCCAGGGCCAACATCGGGCCACAGCTCAGCTTTGTAAGTTGGACCGTCCTGGCCTTGCAAGACGCTGGAGGTCTGGTTTCCTCCCTGTGGGGCAATGGGCTCTTCGCAGAAAATCTTGCCGCTAGCGTGGAAACGGGTCCCTGAGGGGGGTCCTGGAGATCTTTCGCCGTTTGGACGCTCCTGTGGCCCTCCACGGGCCCCAGGACGGTCGAGCAACGACTCAGGACTCAGGATGCGGAATTGTTCCTGGGGTAAGCCCCTGGGTCTAAGGTTCGATCCCCTCAAGGTCTCACTTCCTTCATGGCGATGGAAAACATTATGAACCAGAGCCAATTGCCTAGTGTGGCCAGACCTTTCAAGGAATCCTCAAATTAGAACCCTGCTTTGAAAATGAGCCGCTCTCCGCCGGTGCAATCCTTGCACAAACCTGGCTGTCCAATCGTACACTTTGAGGAAATGTTGAGCGATTACCGCATTCAAAAAAGAAAACAACCGCCGTCCACTCATACATCCGAGTAGCTGTTGCACTTTGTTGTTTGCACTGGCTGGGTATCACATCGAATGGATCTCCAACGATACCCTCATTCCGAAAAACAACTTACCCGACCCAAAACTTCTGAACATTTTGCAGTACTTGCGCGCGGTGCTCAAAAAAGACGAGAACAACATTATGACAACCACCCACCCGTCATCCATTCGCCAAACTTTCGGGAACTTTCAGGACAAAACCTGCGTCTCACTAAGCGAATCCGAAATTTGGGAAAACACCCGCCCTCCACCCTTGTGTACGTTGGAAGCTTTTGCGACGAGTGAGCGAGGCTCCATGGCGAGAGCCACACTTTTTTCAAATAGCCATCATTTCTTCAATGTAACTGTCAGGCGTATCGTATCGCCAAGTCGTACATGGTGAAGACGCCTCAAGCGAATTGCCCAGCCCGCCCTACCGACACGTCTGGTGGTGCGACGGCGGAGAAGACTATCTATCAAGAGGGGGGAGAGGAGCTGGAAAACGAGAAACTGGGGGAGAATGCACTCTGTGCGCTGTGACGGTCCTACCGCCTCACTGGTGCGAGAACGCCTTCCTTTGCTTGTTCACGCCGCCACCTTTGTTTGGTTTCCGCGCTGCGTCTGGCCGCGGCGACCTCGAAATCTCAAGGACCTCATCGCACGGTCAGTGGCCACACGGTTCGGAGACTTTGGGGCCCTCAGGCGCCCGAGGCATCCTCTGAGAACGACCCAACTCCGACAACATCACCTTTGACTCACTGGACGGTGTGGTCACCGCACAGAAACGCAAACAAACAAAAACTACTCCACACGACGACGTCGACGACGACGACCTGAGCGGACGACGCCCCCGAGGTCCTTGGGTGCGGCTGGATCGGAACCCATCTGACGGTGGCGACGAGGAGAACCCTTGGCTCCCCTCGGCGAGGGGGACCGATAAAAGAAGACCTGCTCAGAGGGTGGAAATATCGGCACGGAATATGAGGAACCAATTCCTGGTTCGGAGGCAACTACTGGGAGGTTTTCGTCGGAAAGATTAAAGAGAATTGAGCCCCATTTGGGAGCTGTTATGCCGGAGTGGGCCTCGGATTAAGCGGGATTAAACTGGATTAAGCGGGATTAAGCCAGATTAGGCCAGACTTCGGACCAGGGCAAACTCAGAATTTGACCTCCCAGGAGTTGCATCCGAATCCTGGGAGGTATTCGCAAGAGCGATTAAAACTATTAAGTCTGACTGCAAGGCCATTGAGCGGGATCAGGCCATATTCAACCCAATATTGAGCTAGATGAAGTGGGATCCAACTGGATTAGGCAAGTTCGACCACGGATGTACCAGGGCCGATACTGAACTGTTACCTCCCAAGAGCTGTATCCTAAGGAAACGACGACATATCGCCGCTCAATCGGCGCTGGGCTGGGCTCTCGGTAGCGAATCCGCACGTTGCTGGGCGGGGCAGGCTATCAGGCCCCTATCGTTAGGTCGGGCGTGTCCCCCTACAGGGGGATTTTCGACGAAAAATCAAAAAATACTCAACAAAATACTCCAAAATGGCCAAAACATACTCAAACATAAGACCCAGACTATATTTTTACTATTTTTGGATTGTCCCCCTGTTGAGGGACATGCCCGACTGAACCCTATCGGCGATGAATGGGCGATTGGGGGTCCATGCGCCCCTCCGTTCCCTGAGCCTGCTCCCCCCCGAACCTTGCCCCGGACCCCCCGTTGGTCCTGGGGGCTCTTCGGACAGGCCGCCGGAGAGCAGCGTGCGCCCGGCTTGCCCGCGGCGGCGCTGGCTCAGGCCCTCGCTGCCGGTGCCGGCGCCCTCCAGACCGCCGGCCAGCAGTGAGCCTGTGCGGGAGCGTCTCTGAACGACAGATGTTCGCCAGGGTGGGCCCCAGGCAATGGGTTCTGACACTCTCGCCGTGCACTTGGTGCTGTATGCGGTGCAATCCATGGGATGCAGTCTGTATGGTGCAATTGACGGGATGCAACCAACTTTGACCGCGTCCGCAAGCGAAATTCTCCACTGTTCGTGCGAGCATCTCATCCTTCTACCCGCACCCTGTTGGCAAAACTCGACAGAGTGACGACAACGACGAAGACGATGTTCGTGACGACGGTGAGGACGATTACTCCGAAGACGATGATGATGGTGATGAAGCTCATGATGCTTGTAAAGACGGTGGCAATGTCGTTGTTGCCTGCTATGAATGAAGCGGGTCTGATGACGGTGGCAATGATGACGATGATAACGATGATAATGATGATGCTGATGATGATGGCGGCGTTGATGATGATGCTGATGATGATGCTGATGATGGCGACGATGATGATGATACTGATACTGATGATGATGATGATGATGATGATGATGATGATGATGATGATGATGATGGTGCTGGTGGTGATGATGATGACGTTGACGATGGAGCTGGTGAGGATGAAGAGGAAGTGCGAGCTCGTAGACATTCGACGAGGGCGACGACATCGACGAAGACGATGCCGACGGTGGTGATGATCATGGCGCGCGCACACATATGCATACATTACATGTTATTCTCACTTGTTTGGCTTGCCTTCCGAATGTTGTATGACAGCTCGGTGTTCAAATGCTTACAGAAGCCAATGGATTTGAAAGATTTCGAGATGCGCGCGCGAAGACGCGCGTGTGCGGCTCACACTATAATATTTCAATGATTTGGCGGGTGCGCGATGATTATTGAACGTTTTCGACACGCGCGCGCGTGGCCAGCATGCTACCAGTCGACAACACTACAAACTAACAATGTGTTTTCTTATGGTTTCAACAAGTACGCGCACAGAAGTCTGGCAACTCGTTGATCGACAACCGAAGCGCTTTCTGATAGGTTTGATCAGGTATGTCTTGAAACTGTTCGAGCATGACAGGGGTCGAATGATTTTGACATGCGCGCGATGCGGCGCGCGAATGTGGCCCGCATACTGGTTTCGTTTCGCAAGACATTGTTAGTCGAACGCGCTGCTTAGATCAACGCATGCGCACCGCATAATACTTTTTGCAAGGGGTGAAAGGGCGGGGTCGGTACCAAGACTGCCTGGGATGATAGAGTTTGATATCTAAGATGAACGATCGTGCAATACACATGTGAGAACACACTACGCGGATGGAAACCGATAACCCTCGCTTCGGGATGGGGGTATAGTCGAATTCTGATGAGGGAAGGGAATGTATGCTGGGCAGGATGAGGGGTGCGATATGTCGAGCTGAACTTATTTGGTGCACTCATTCGAAGGCAACATATCCGGTGCAACATTTGAGGTGCCGTCTCCGCTGTGCAAGGAAGCTATAGGGTACAACATGTGCAATGCATCCTATGGGGTGCAGTACGTGTGATGCAATATATGTGGTGCCATATGTGTAATGAGACATGTGTCGTGTACAATGTGGATGCCAACCATGTGTAATCTTTGCTTCATCCAATGTGGTGCAAGCTATGTACGGCCTCTGTGGGGGGACCCCTGGGGGTCGGGCGGTTCTCGTGGGGTGGCGTGGGCCATGTCCAACAAGCGCTACATGGGGAAATGCGATTTCTCGCCCGAATCTGGTGCGGCAGTCCGCGAGGAGGCAAAATGCGCTTCGCAGGGGGATGAACTGCTGGGGGGTGGTCAGGTCGCCCCTGCGAATATATCGGGTGCGCGCTATCAATCTATGTGGTGCAAGCTACGCGTGCGTCCTGCAACGCGAGCAAACGCAAGGGGCGGGCTTTTGGCGATGCACGAGGCTCGGGGGAGGCAATGCCGACGGGGGGATTGCTAACCTTCTGCAACAACAATTGGCTATCATGACTTCTGTTGTTGAGGACCTCCGGGAGCATATCATACCACTAAAGTGGACACAAGCGTTGCGAGGTTGGCCGTTTCTTTGACGAGTCGCTTGGAGTATGTTCAGGCGAGCCTCATCACGACCGACATCCGCTTGGAAACTGAGGACGGGGGGTCCTCGTCACTGCGACTGGATCCGCCTCGGAATCCTGGTCCCCCCTTCGCATCCTCTCCGTCTCTCCCTCTCTTGAAACCTCTCCCCATACGCCGCATTTTTACTCGACACCTTGCGCAAAACGGCCTCCACGTCCGAATAGGTTGATAGAGGCCTCCTAGATGGGTTCGGATGGGGTCAGAAGATCGCGCCGCTTCGCCGATAGATCGCGATGCATCGGCGATGCATCGTGACGCACCTGCGAGGCATTGTCGGCGTCGGCGATGCATCGGCGACGTCAACGTGAAGCCAATCGGGCCCCACATCGAGCCGCGTCGGCGATGCGGCCTGATCCTTCGACAGTCTACTCCGACCGCATCTAAAAGGCCTAGAGTTGAGGAGCTGGCCGCCACGATTTTTTCTGCGACGTCCAGATCTGAACGATTCTCTCTCCTCGCCTCCCAAAAAGGAAAGGCAGACCCCAGACATCAAGCGCTTCGATTTTTCGATGCGTGGGCCCCTGGACCTCTCGCCCCATTCCCAGGGTTGGTTTTTCAAATGCCGAACCGGCTCTTGTCGACCGTCCCGGGGGCCCGACACCAGACTCCAAAAGCCAGAGGTGGCCACTGTCGCCTCGACTGTCTTGAGGCGCCGGAGGTCTGGGAAGAGAAGGCCCAACAAGACGGGGAACTTGATGAGCCGGGGCCGCGGCCCGTGGGGCTGGCCCAATCGAAGACCATCTGCCTGCCCTCCTGGCGGCGGGCGGCGGGGGGTCAAGGACAACTGAACCGGGTAACGCCCAAACGGGGTCACAAAAAGTGCTCGTGTGTGTACTGCCGTGCTCCTGTGTGTTCTGCCGTGCGCCTGCTTGTTCTGCCGTGCATATGTGTTTTGTGTTTTGCCGCGCTCCTGTGTTGTCTGCCATGCTCCTGCGTGTTCTACCGCGCTCCTGCTTGTTCTCCTCAAAGCGTGGTCAACCCAAGGCGTCCCACACCACTCTGCTCGGTATCGACCCCGATACAAAAAAACCTGACCGGACAAGAACGGGAAGCGTCGCTTTTGTCCACTCGGTATGTGAAATACGCTCTTTTGTTGGTCTGCTGTGCAGATATGTCGTGGCGTGCGTGCGTTTGCCCATGCGCGTGGGTGTGTACGTGTGTGTGTGTGTGTGTGCGTGTGTGCGTGTGCCAATGTGCGTGTGCCTATGTGCGTGTGCCCGTGGGTGCGGCTGTGCGAATAGATGTTCTGTGTGTTCTGCCGTGCTCCTGCGTGTTCTCTGTGTTCTGCCGTGCGCGTGCGTGCGTGGTGGTCTGCAGCGCTGCTGTGTTGTGCCGTGTTAAAGTTAAAGGGAAAGGGGAACCCCTTCGAAACCCAAACGGGGCGGCCCCTGCGGGCTTGGGCAGGCGGAAGGGCCAAACCCCTTCAAACGCCCCCCCCCCCACCGAGGCGAGACCAGATCTACATTCAGAATGCAACTGCGCGCCTCACTCAGCCTGGCCGAAGACCTGGGCCGCCTCGAGCAACCGCAGCCCCTCGGCCAGATCGCCGCTCAGGATTGCCTCCTGGGCCGCCTCTGCCGCAGCCAGCCGCTCGTGCGCACGCGCGCCAGGGGCGTCGGCCTCGAGGCTGCTTTCAGCGCCCTCGCGCCTGGAGCCCGTGCGCTCCAGCCAGGCAGCGCGCGCAAGCTCGTACTCCGCGGCCTGCTCGCTGCCGTCCGAGAACTCGTCACGCAAGAACTGCCCGTGCTCAGACCCGAGATCCTCGAACTCCGAGCCCCCCGCGAAGCTGTCCTCGCTCTCGGCATTCGCCGCGCGGTTCGGCCGCCACGCCGAGCAACGCGCCGCCATGGCGCGATCCTCCTCGGGCTCGCAGCCGTAGACAGCGACGACCTCACGCGCAGCCAAGGCCGCCGCGAGCCCCATGCCGTGCTCCTCGGCATCTGGGCAACCTGCACCTCCCAGGCGGACGCCGAGGGCGCGGGCCTCGGCCAAGTCCAGGAGCGACTCAACTCCCGACTTCGGCCCCTTGGCCGCGCGCGCCACCGCCGCCGCCGAGAAGCCGCCCAGGAACGAAACGAACACGCCCTCCGAGCTCGAGTGGCCATCGCCCGCGGCGCAGTCGACGCTGTCAGCGACCAGGGGCGGCTCCATGATCTCTTCCGCCTCGGTGCTCTCGGCGCCGGCCTCGCTGCAGCCCTGCTCGGCCAGCTGCGCCACGCCGAGCTCCTCCAGCAGCGCGGCCCAGCGCGCCCGCTCGGGGAGGTACGGCTGGGCGCTAGACCGCAGCGGGGCCATCGCGGCCGCCGCTCGGGCGCTGGGCGGCCGCGCTGACCGCCTCGGCCACGCAGACATCCAATGCGCGCTCAATCGGCGGCTGCGCTTCGCAGACGCAGGTCTCCACCTTGCACGCGATGGCACTCTGCGCCGCGCCGCCGCGCCCATCATCAGGACGGGGCCCTCCTGGGAGGCGCCGCCCGCGTCGAGCCCTGCGCCATGCCTGCGGCGGGGCGTCTGCCGACGGGCAGCGCTCGGCATGCCGCGCGACGTTCCGCCGCAGCCGCTGCGCCCTGGTTTCGCGGCGTCCGCGGACGCGCGGGGGTCCGCGCGATGGCTTCGCTGCGGCGGGCCTCCGCCTCCGGGGCTTCGCCGCGCGAACCGCGCTCCAGCTGCGCCTGGAGGCAGGCGATGACTTCCTTCGCCTCCCGCAGCTCCCTCTCAAGCCGTCTCGCCAGGTTGTCCGCCGCCCAGCGGGCCGCCGCGACGCCGGTGAGCACCTCCCGCACCATTCTGCCCAAGCGCCCGCGCGCGGCGCGCGCCCGAGCACGGCTTGAACCAAAATGGCTACGGATGTGTACATGTGCGTTGTAGTTGTGGGGCCATAAAGGCAAAGAAAAGGACCGAGGGGCCGCCGGGGGCGCCAATCGCCACCCGAGACGCGCCCTCCCGAGAGGGGCCGCCTAAGGCCGCCTCTCGCCGCGGGGGCCGCACTGGGCCTCCGCCGCGCGGCACCGCAGGCGAGAGCAGAACTGCGCACAGAACGCAACTGCCCGCCTCACTCTTCACTCTTGGGCCGCGTCTTGCAACGCGCACGGACCGAAAGATCATCGAGGAGCCGCTGACGCTCCTCGGCATCTGGACAACCTGCGCTTCCGAAGCGGACGCCGAGGGCGCGGTCCTCGGCCAAGTCCAGGAGCGACACAACTCCCGACTTCGGCCCCTTGGCCGCACGCGCCACCGCCGCCGCCGAGAAGCCGTCCAGGAACGAAACGAACGCGCCCTCCGAGCTCGAGTGGCCGTCGCCCGCGGCGCAGTCGACGCTGTCCGCGACCAGGGGCGGCTCCGCGCCGACGGCGCGCTCGATGGCCGCGCCTCCCACGGGCGCCTCCACGGCGGCCACGGACGGCGGCCGCGGCGTCGCCTTCGCGCGGTGCATCGAGCCTCCGTCAAGCGTCGCGACGCCGCTCGGTTTGCACGCCCGAATGAGCAGCTCGAGCTCGAGGGCCCTCCCCACGGACATGCCTGGCAGATGGGCCTGCACCAACCAGGGCCCTTCGGCGAACCGCGCGCCCCAGGCGGGTCGCCGACGAGGCCTCACGGAGATGCCGAACCTCTCGCACTCGCAGAGGCGCATCAGGTCGACGGCCTTCGCGTGGCACGTCCACGCGGGGTCCAACCACGGAGGGGCAGGGCCATGCAGAAGGATCCCAAACACACCGAGCGTGCCTCCCAGGGCCCCCACCTCCAAGTCGACGACGTCGGGCCACGGAGCGAAGGATACCCGCTTGCTCCTCTCACACTCCTGCCCCGGCCCGACAGGATCGGCCCCGCTCGGCTCGCTGGCACGCCTGTCGCCGTGCAGCCCGCGCGGCACGGGCACCACGTTGCTCCCCTCGGACACGTGCAGCTCCTCGGGGCCTACCTCGGAGCCGTCGGCCGCGAGCGCTAGCGCGCCGTGCTCCTCCTCGGGCCCGCTCCCACCACCGCGCCTGGAGCCCGAGCGCTCCAGCCAGGCAGCGCGCGCCAGCTCGTACTCCGCGGCCAGCTCGCTGCCGTCCGAGAGCTCGTCGCGCAGGAACTGCCCGTGCTCGGGCCCGAGATCCTCGAACTCAGAATCCCCCTCGAACTCCGAGTCCCCCTCTAGGCTGCCCCCGCTCCGCCACGGCCGCCGCGCCGAGCGACGCGCCGCAGCCGCGCGATCCTCCTCGGCCTCGCAGCCGAACTCCGCGACGATCTCCTCCGCCTCGGTGCTCTCGGCGCCGCCCTCGCCGCAGCCCTGCTCGGCCAGCTGCGCCGCGCCGAGCTCCTCCAGCAGCGCGGCCCAGCGCGCCCACTCGGGGAGGTACGGCTGGGCGCCAGACCGCAGCGGGGTCCTCGCGGCCGCCGCTCGGGCGCTGGGCAGCCGCGCTGGCGCCTCGGCCACGCGAGCATCCAATGCGCACTCGATCGGCGGCTGCGCTTCGCAGACGCAGGTCTCCACCTCACACGCGATGGCACTCTGCGCCGCGCCGCCGCGCCCATCGCCAGGAAGGGGCCCTCCTGGGAGGCGCGGCCCGCGTTGAGCCCTGCGCCATTCCTGCGGCGGGGCGTCTGCCGACGGGCAGCGCTCGGCATGCCGCGCGACGTTCCGCCGCTGCCGCTGCGCCCTGGTTTCGCGGCGTCCGCGGACGCGCGCAACCAAGGCGGGCCGCGCGATGGCTTCGCGGCGGAGGGCCTCCGCCTCCGCGGCGTCGCCGCGCGATCCGCACTCCAGCTGCGCCTGGAGGCTGGCGATGACTGACTTCCTTCGCCTCCCGCAGCTCCCTGTCAAGCCGTCTCACCAGGTTGTCTGCCGCCCAGCGGGCCGCCGCGACACCGGTGAGCACCTGCCGCGCCATTCTGCCCAAGCGCTCGCGCGCGGCGCGCGCCCGAGCACGGCTTGAGCCAAAATGGTTACGGAATGTACCTGTGTGTTATAGTTATAGTTATAGTCGGGGCCTTAAAGGCGGCAGGAGAAGGAAAACGGGGACAGGGCCAGGCGGGGCCAATGCTCCCGAGAGACGCCGAGTCCCAAGCAAGCGAGCCTCGCGTGCCTACTCACACAGGAGCAACAGACGCGGGCAGGCAGCGGGAGTGCCTTCAATCACTCCCAGACGACTCAGAGCCGCGGCGTGCCAGGCGGCGGCGGACCCTACGGCCCACCAGGCCGTCGCTAGGCGCTGGCCCCGCGGCTGCGAGCTTCCCCGCGGCGGCGCCTCCGGCGCCGAGGGGGCCAGTGCTCGGGCCCGGCCGCTGCTGGGGCAGGCTGGCCGCCGCCGACTCAACTACATGCCGCCCTGCCGCTGGAGCCGCTGGGCCGCTGCCCGAGCTGCTGGCCGCGGTGGAGGCTCCGCCAGTCGGCTCCGCCTCCATGCCGAGCCACTCCAGGCACCGTTCCTGGGCGTGCCCTGGCACTGGTCCTTGCGAGCGCAAGGCAGAGATGCCCTCTGCTCTCGCCCTCTGCTTGTCCTCCCGAGGCCTGCCACCAGGGTGGGGCCCTCGCTCCCACAGGCTGCGCTGGTTCCTCGACTTGTTGGTCAGGTTGCTGGGCCCTGGGCGCTGCGTCTTCAAGCGAGACCTGCCTCCTGCGTGGCCGCCCAGCAACTTGTAGGCGCCACGCTTGGTGCACGCCACGATCTCCTGGGCATCCTCTCCTTCGCCCACGCAGGCGTAGCTGAGCACGTGCCCCAGGACGCTGAACGCGACATCGGTGGCCGAGAGGGCTGCCGCGCTGCTCCCCGTCGAGCGGCTGTCCTCCAGGCGGGCCCGCGCAGCTGGAGCGCCGCCGCCGTGGACCTCCCCAGCCTGCAGGGCCTCCGATGCCGCCGCTGAAGTCACAAGGTTGTTCCCGTCAGCGGGAAGGAGCCCTCCGCTGCTCGCGGCCCAGCCATTGACGTACTGCTCGCTGTCGAATTCGCCGTCGCCTCCTTCTCGTGCTCGCCGCTCCGTCACGTTCTCCTCGACTCCTGGCCTCGGCCGCGGCTCGAGGAGCATAGGATTGGACGTGCCGCCGAGGTCCATGACCATGCACCTCTCCGACTCGAGGTGCCGGTCGCCGATCCACTGGGCCCGCGCCACATCGCGGACGGCCGAGGTATGGCTCACGCCTGTGGCGTCTGCACCGCCCCTGGCCGCCGCCTCCTCACGTCTCTGAGCTCGCGCCCTGAGTGGCTGCACGGTCGGCAGCTGCGGACCCGCACTCCTGGCCATCGTCTCAGGAGGTTCAGGTACCCCTGCTCTGCCCACGGGCTCGATCCACTCGCTAGTGCCGAACTCGATGCCCCCAAGTACGTTCTCTCCAGTGCTCAGGAGGATGCGGACACCTCAGGGTCCTGCAGCGCGTTCCTGGTCCCAGGGCGGGACGAGGGCGCCCATGCCGCGGAGCCCCGCCCAGTCGCTCTCGACGACCTGGGTGCTGCTCCCATGCAGGCACAGGACCGCCGCACAGGCCTCGCTAAGCACTCGCTGGCCCTGGCCGCGTCCCTCCGAGGCGGCTCCCAGCGGCCTTGCCCGCAAGATGAGCAGCCAGGGGAGCCAGGTCCGCCGCCTCTGCCGCCAGCTCCCGCTTGCACGCCTGGACCACCGTTGGCCACTCGCCCAGCGCCTTGCCGCACCGCTCGGCTTGGCCTCGTTCCGCTGCTGGCTGGGGCAGCCAGAAGCCGCCGCAGTCCGCAAGACCGCCATCGTTGCTGCTGATCTCCTCCATGGGGCAAGACTCAGCCCACGGCGTGCGCTTGGAGGCCACTGGTGCCCCCTCGAGCTGCGCCCGCACTGCCTCCATCTGGGCGCGAATGGCAGCCCGGGCCACCTCGAAGTTGCTGGTGCTCCACGCCTCTGGCAACTTCTCCAGCTGCATGAGGAGCCCTGGTACCTGGCTGGCTCCTGTCCACTCGGCTGCGCGCTGGCGGCGCAGCGCCTCGGCTTCCTCACGGGCTGCTTCTTCGAGCGCCTGGAGCGCCAGGCTCGCCTCCTCCACCTCCTCGTCGAGCTCCGCGAGCTTCTCCTGTGCCTGGTGGAGCTGGGCCTCGACGAGGTCGCGCGCCTCCTGCTTCTGCTCGAGCTCCAGGCGGGCTGCCCGGAGCCGCTTCTCGCCCTTGCTGATGGCGTTCGCCTCCCTGTGGAGCCGCGTCGCCCGTGGCAAGGACGAGGCCTTCTGCTCAGCTGCTGCCTTTTGGGCCTTGACCAGCTCAGCACGCTTCGCCTCCAGCTGGCTGGCCACGACGTCGGTGAAGCAGCCGTCCACTCCGTCTGGGGGCTCGGCCTGCAGCGCCTCGAGCTGCTCGACGGCCGCCTGGGGCATCTCGATCGCCGTGGCGCCTCCACCGCTGGGCGTCCCACTTGCTGCCGAGGCCGAGGTCTGCGACTTGGTGGATGCTGCCCGCGAGGCCGCTCCGCGGGCCTGCCTCTGGGCACGGCGCCCTCGTGGCTGATCCACCCCGCCGTCCTTGTCTGCCTTGGGCCTCGCCTTGGGCGGGGGCGTCCCCGTCGCCCATGGCGGGGCCGCATGCCCGCAGCCCAGGCAAGAGGTGCGCCAGTCCCTGTTCCACTCGCCGCAGCTGCACATCCAGTAGGACTTGCTGCGCCTGCTGCTGCCGCCACTGCGCGGGGGCCTCGCCATGGCCACTGCCGCGCAGGCCGCGGGGCTGCGCCTCCGCGCCGTGAAAGCAGGGAGCACACACTCGAATTGCACTGGCCCGAAGCGCGGAGACCCTCGCGCTCAGAGCGCCGCGAACGACTCGCGGTCGTCGGGTTCTCCATGGCCTTGAGCCAAACTGGCTATGGCCTTGAGCCAAACTGGCTACGGATGTACCTGTGTGTTCTGCCATGCTCCTGCGTGTTCTGCCGTGCTCCTGTGTGTTCTGCCATGGTCCTGCTCGTCCGTGCTCCTGTGTGTTCTGCCGTGCTCCTGTGTGTATTATGCCGTGTTCTGCGGTGCTCCTGCGAGTTCTGCCATGCGCCTGCATGTTCTGCCGCGCTCCTGCTTGTTCTGCCGTGCTCTGCCGTGCTCCTCCTGCTCCTGTGTTCTGCCGTGCTCCTGCGTGTTCTGCCGCGCTTCTGTGTGTTCTGTGTGTGTGTGTGTGTGTGTGTGTGTGTGTGTGTGTGTGTGTGTGTGTGTGTGTGTGTTTGCCGTGCGCCTGCGTGTTAAAGTTAGAGTTAGAGACGGGGCCTTCAAGGCAAAGTGGTGGGCCAAAAGGCCAGACACCCGCGGGGGCCAAGCGGGGCCGCCCGCCCAAGAGGGGCCACCTTGGGCCGCCTCTCGGCAAACCAGCGGGGCCGCCTTGGGCCACCGCTCAAAGGGAACTCGACTGCGACGGCACGGAGCCCCCTCACTGCAGCGCGCCTCGCGTGCCTACTCACACCAGGGGCAACACGCGAGAACGATGCTTCTCCTCACTCACTCACTCGCGGATGACGAACCGCGGTGCGCTGGCAGGCGGCTGATCCTGCGACTCACCTGCCTTCCGCCCGCCGCGCTGCTCACGGCGGCAACCTCCGCCGCCTCCGCTGCCAACGCTGCCGCGGGGGCCGCTGGGCTGCCGCCCGAGCTGCTGGCCGCGGCTGAGGCTCCGCCTGTAGGCTCCGCCTCGCTGCCGAACTCCTCCAGATAGAACTCTAGGTACTCAGAGCCGCGGCGCGCCAGGCGTCGGCGGACCCTGCGGCTCACCAGGCCGCCGATGGGTGGGGCTCCCGCTGCCGCGAGTTCCTCCTCGGCTGCCACGCCCGCTCTGGGGAGGTCCGCGCACGGCCCTGGCCGCTGCTGGGACAGGCTGGCCGCCGCCACCTGCGCCTCCTGCGCTGCCGCGGCCGCGGGGCCGCCGCCCGAACTGCTGGTTGCGGCTGAGGCTCCGCCCATGGGCCCCGCCTCGATGCCTACCCACTCCAGGTAGCGCTCCTGGGCATGTCCTGGCACTGGCCCTTGGAGCGCAAAGCGGGGATGCCCTCTGCTCTCACTCTCCGCTGGTCTGCACGCGGTCTGCCACCAGGGTGTAGCCCTCGCTCCCACAGGCTGCGCTGGTTCCTGCCCGACTTGTTGGTCAGGTAGCTGGGCCCTGGGCACTGCACCTTGAGGCGAGACTTGCCTCCCGCGCGGCCGCCCAGCCCCTTGTATGCGCCGCGCTTGGTGCACGCCACGATCTCCTGGGTGTCCTCGCCTACGTCTGCGCAGGCATAGCTGAGCACGTGCCCCAGGGCGCTGAAAGCGACAGCGGTGGCCGAGAGGGCGGCCGCGCTGCTCCCCGCCGAGTGGCTGTCCCCCAGGTGGGGCCGCGCGGCTGGAGCTCCGCCGCCGAGGGCTTCTCCAGCCTGTTGGGCCTCCTTCGCAGCCGCGGACTGCGCCTGCGGCTCGAGGAACATGGGCCCGAGCGCGTCACTGAGGTCCATGGCCATGCACCGCTCTGGCACAAGGCGCCAGTCGCCGCCCCACCGGGTCCGCTCCCCATCGTAGACGGGCGATGCGCGGTGCAGGCCTGCTGCGGCCTCGAGGGCCATGGACTGCTCCTCGTGGGCCTCCGAGAGGGCCAGGCCGCGCAAGCACAGGACCGAGGGGAGCGGCAGCAGCTGCCGTGGGTGGAGCTGGTCGGCGTCTAGGCTCGCCGCCAGCGAGTGACGCTTGCGAACCGCCTGCAACATCTCCAGGTTGAGGGGCGGCAGCGTTGAGCCTCGGACGTCCCAGCTGCCGACTCCAGCTCCAGCCCTGAGGCCCTCCTGCTGCCACATGGCCTGCCAGTTGGCCTCCAGCTGCTCAAATGCCATCGCGCCTACCAAGGGCCTGCTAGCCTCTGGATCAACCGCTGGCAGGGGCGGCGCAGCCTTGGCAAACCTGTGGGCGAGTCTGTCGCCCACCTGCACGGCCTGCTTGGCCCATGTGCTGCAGGAGGCCAGGCTCTTGCCGCCATCTCGCTTCAGGGAGCTCGCGAGGCGCCGCTGCAGCACTGCAGTAGCCTCGGGGTCACCGTGTACGCCAGCTTGGTCATTGCGGTCGCCCCACTCGCTAGTGCCGAACTCGATGGCCCCGACTGCGTTCTCCTCGGCGCCCAAGAGGATGAGGTCCCAGCTGGGCCTTGCAGCGCTCTCCTGGCCCCTGGGCTTGCCGAGGACGCCCATGCCGCGGCGGCCTACCAGGTCGCTCCCGACGCCCTCGGCGCCGCTCTCGTGCAAGCGCAGGCCCGCCGCGCTGGCCTCGCTAGGCACTCTCTGGCCCTGCCTGCACCTCTCCGACTCGGCTCCTGGCGACACTGCCAGAAGGGAGAGAAGCCAGAGGAGCCAGGTCCGCTGCTTCAGCCGCCAGCTCCCGCTTGCATGCCTGGGCCACCGTCGGCCACTCGCCCAGCGCCTCGCCGTACCGCTCGGCTTGGCCTCGCTCGGCGGCTGGCTGGGGCTGCCAGGGGTCGCCGCCGTCCGCGAGCTCGCCATCGTCGCTGCTGATCTCCTCCATGGGGCAGGACTCGGCCCACGGCGCACGCTTGGGGGTCGCTGGGGCTCCCTGGAGCTGCGCCCGCACTGCCTCCATCTGTGCGCGAATGGCTGCCCGTGCCACCTCGAAGTTGCTGGAGCCCCACGCCTCTGGCAACTTCTCCAGCTGCATGAGGAGCCCTGGCGCCTGGCTGGCTCCTGTCCACTTCGCCGCGCGCTGGCGGCGCAGCGCCTCAGCCTCCTCGCGGGCTGCCTCCTCGAGCACCTGGAGCGCACGGCTCGCCTCCTCCACCTGCGCGTCGAGCTCCGCGAGCTCCTCCTGTGCCTGGTGGAGCTGGGCCTCGACGAGGTCGCGCGCCTCCTGCTTCTGCACAAGCTCCTGGCGGGCTGCCCGGAGCCGCTTCTCGCCCTTGCTGATGGCGTTCGCCTCCCTGTGGAGCCGAGTCGCCCGCGGCAGGGAAGAGGCCTTATGCTCCGCTGCTGCATTTTGGGCCTTGCCCAGCTCGGCCCGCTTCGCCTCCCGCTGCCTGACCGCGGCGTCGGTGAAGCAGCCGTCCACTCCGTCGGGGGGCTCGGCCTGCAGCGCCTCGAGCTGCTCGACTGCCGCCTGGGGCCTCTCGATCGCCGTGGCGCCTCCGCCGCTGGGCGTCCCACTCGCCGCCGACGCCGAGGTCTGCGACTTGGTGGGGGCCGCCCGCGATGCCGCGCCACGGGCCTGCCTTTGGGCACGGCGCCCGCGTGGCTGATCCACCCAGCCGTCCTTGTCCGCCTTGGGCCTCGCCTTGGCTGGTAGCGCCCCCATCGCCCAAGGCGGGGCCGCGTTCCCGCAGCACAGGCACGAGGTGCGCCAATCCCAGTTCCACCCGCCACAGCTGCACATCCAGTAGGCCTTGCAGCGCCTGCCGCAGCCGCCGCCGCGCGGGGACCGCGCCATGGCCTCCGCTGCACTGGCCGAGGGGCTGCGCCTCCGCGGCGAGAAAACAGGGAGCACAACGCGAAATGCACTGGCCCAGAGCGCGGAGACCCTCGCGCTCAGAGCGCCGCGAACGACTCGCGGTCGTCGGGTTCTCCATGGCCTTGAGCCAAAATGGCTACGGAGCGCGCCTGCGTGTTCTGCCGTGCTCCTGTGTGTTCTGCCGTGCTCCTATGTTTTCTATGTGTTCTGCCGTGCTCCTCGTGCTCCTGTGTGTTAAAGTTAAAGATTAAGAAGGGGCCTTCAAGGCAAAAAGAAAGAGACGGACAGGGCCAGACGGGACCCGCGTTCCCGAGAGACGCCGAGTCCCAAAGGCACCGAGGGCGGCGGAAGCCTGCTCCCAAACGGAGCAGCAGGCGCGAGCCACAGCGGTGCAACCTTTCACTGACTCACTCACGGACAGGCCGCCACGGCGCGCCCCGCGGCGTCGTACCCTGCGGCCCTCCAGGGCTCCGCCCGCAGGGCCAACCGCAGCGGCGGGCCCCTCATCGACGACCCCGATCTCGCCGAGGCTCCTCTCTCTCGCTGCAGCAAGGCGCCGCTTGGGTCGGCTGGCGGCGGCCGCCGCGACGGCCGCGCCCGAGGGGCCTCCTCCTGGGTCTGCAGCCACGCGCGGCTCCGCAACTGCCGCTGGGGCGCTGTCTGCACTGCCCACCGTGGCCGAAGGGCCTGCAGCTGGCTCCGCTGCAGTGCCGAACCACTCCAGGTATCGCTCCTGCGCTTGCTCTGGCACTGGACCCTGCGACCGCAGCGTGGGGGTGCCCTCTCCTTTCGCTCTGTGCCTGGCAGCTCGCGACCCCTCCTGCCTCCTGCCACCAGGATGGAGTCCTCGTAGCCACAGGCTGCGCTGGTTCCTGCCGCCTTTGTCGGTATTGTCGCCTGGGCGCCGCTCCTTGAGGCGAGGCTTTGCCCTTGAGCGGCCGCCCAGCGTCATGTAGGCGCCACGCTTGGAGCACGCCACGAGCTCCTGCATGTCCCCACCTTCTCCAGCGCAGGCGTAGGACAGGGCATATCCCAGGATGCTGAAGGCTACTGCACTGGCCGAGAAGGCTGCCGAACTGCTGCCTGTCGAACGGGCGCTCTCCAGGCGCGGCCGCTCGGCCGACGGCCCCTCGCCCTTGGCCTCCTCCGCCGCATGAGACCTCTCGGCGTCAGCGAAACGCGCCTGGCGCCGCTCGGCAGCAGGAGGGAGCCCTTCGCCGCCCCTGAACTCGACGCCTTGCCCGAGGAAG